GGCCAATCATCCTTCCAAGACGATGGCACATGTTTTTGAATGAAGCGGACCAATAACTCCGGGACTCGAGTCAGTGGCTGGGTTTTAGTGGCTGGGTTGGATTTGTATTTGGATTGCGTGATGTGATGCGTTACCACTTGCCTGGGCTAGTAGCATCTCTCTCCCTTCCGACAAAGAGAGAGAGAGAGAAAGACGCAGCGGCTTATCTCTTCCAATCTGAATACCACGGAACTGATATTACTCAACTGGAGAGAGACAACGGCTCGTTGAAGAATTGCTTGGTGTTCACGGAATTAACGGAGATGAATTCTTCATCTCTACCCGCTAGTTTCGCTCTCCCCGAAATTTCCAACTTTCTCTCTCTCTCTCTATGCCACGCCCCTCCAACCCCTTGCGTACACCCAAACACACCACCACTCAAACCCAAACGCACATATACACCTACGACCCCCCCCCCCGTCCTCGCCATTCCAGTCAATCCTTTGAACCCCAACTGCATGAAATCAAGAAAAATGATGTCACAACCAGCGCCGAACCAATTAATTGGATATATCCACAGCCAACAGAGGCGCCTACAGTGCGCCTTGAAACAAAGGGAAAAGAAAAAAAGAATACATATACCTAAAGTTGAAGAAGAAGAAAAGAAAAGGAAAAAAAGTAGTCTTGAAAGTGTCCCAAGAATCAGAGAAATGCCGCTTTCGGGGTATATAATTTGGTGCACACGGTGGCTTTGGGTGCTCTCCTCTCCTTGCTGGTCCTGCTGCAGCTGCAGCTGCAGTTGGGGGTGCCGCGATCCAGCCGCTGCGTATCATAGGTAGTTGGTAAAGCCCCCCTCCCCTGTTCTCCCTTGCGCCCTTTTATACTCTGCAAATTATGCAGATGACGTGGACCTTTTTTTTTCTCTTACTCTCTTTCTGATTGATTGATTGAATGGTTGAATGGTTGGTGCTTGAGCTTTTTCTGTGCCCGCGCGACGACAAAGGCTTCTTGTTGCTGACGATGCTGATGTTGGGTGTTGTTGCGAAAACGACTAACGAAATGAAGGGAGGAAAGGGTTTGATGATGACTTGCGCGGCCGCAGCGTCAGTCATGAATTACTTCCGGGGGCTGCCGGGTAACGCCGAATATCTGGGCGCGTACATGTACATGTGTCGTATCCAGCTGCGAGGTCCTGTGGGTTGTATTGGCTGCTTCGTTCCTCTGATGTACCGACATGTGTCCATGTATCTTCGCTCGTGCAATCAAGCTCATGTCGGAGACGCCCCTTCTTTCTTTCTTTTTCTCCCCTTCCACTCCTCCTTTTTTTTCGTTCCCTTTCATGGTGTCTTAATGCTCCGAGTGGATGGCCCCTGTGCCTTCACAAATGGTGCACTGCTTTTGGCCCGTCCGTTTACAGCAAGGACCGCCCTTGCCATTGCAGACATCGCACTTGACGGTGCCGTTTCCCCTACATTCAGGGCAGTCTTTCATGTTTGCTTGGTGATTTGGCCGGATCGAGGGGGCGGGAGGGGGTAGCCGAGTACGCGCAAGGTAACACGAGGGCAAACCAGAGACGTTTGTGTGCAAGAAAAGAAAGTAGGAAAAGGCAGACGGAGAAGAGATGCAGAAATGGAGGCGTTGGGCAACGAGGACGGCGAGGTTATCAAGACGAAGTTGTTGATCTTGATTTCAGCAGGTCAGAAGCTGTGGGCATCAACTGAGCAGTAGTAGTAAAGGATAAAAAGTGTGCTTCCTTGGTCTGAAACATGGGCAACTCCCTGTGTGCATCCGTACCACGTGAAAAAAAAAGCGTGCCTCGGGGCTTTTATAGAATTTCCCTTGGGTGTTTTGGCCCCGCGCGCACCACCCCATTGCTCCTCTCAGCATCGCAATCTCACTGCCGCCGCAAATAGTGAAGCAAGCTCCCAAGCTCAGCCCCCTCCCCGCCGCCCGCGCGCCAACACCGCCAACCGCCCGTGCTTTGTCTTGATAGCCCCCCCACTCCCCCCCCCAAACCAACCAACCAACCAACCATATGTAGCAAGGCAAACACATCGGCATCGTGAGGACATGGATGGCGGCCTCTTCGTACGTATGTGTCTGATTCTTGCTTGCATGCACGTGGGATACCGTCCACGAAACCGCCATGTCAAGTATAACACGGCCCATCTGCTCCCAACAGTCGCATTGCCCAAGCACCCGTCTCCCCAACCCTCCATCACCTATCATATATTGCTTACCTACTTACCTCTTGCATAGGTACTCCCTTCTCTGTCCTCCCCATCTCTCTCTCTCTCTTTCTCCATCCCTCCCTCTCTCTCTCTCTCTCGCTTCATCGTACGAGCATGCGGGGCAGACTCACAGCATGAATGCTTGGCCCCGTAAGACAGCGCTCCTATCGTGTTTCCAATAAGGCACATGGACTGACGTTTGTCTGGCTGCCGCCACACCCGTATTATGTCTTCGTATCCTATTGGACTCTTTTTCTATTCTTTGCTTGCACTGGGAGCCAACAAGAACGTCACTCCTGCAGTTTCGGCCCCATGCATCCCCCCATGTCCCTGAAGCAAATCCACCATGCGGGTAATTCTCTTAGCGCCACTCGGAACTTTTTGGACGAGAGTGGTTTCTTCTTTTGCGTTTCTTTTTTTCCCCATCCAAAGCGGTGCGATGCATGGACTATGTCAGCTGGTTGGTAGGGTTGGTAAGTAGCGTGCGTGTCCGAGCCGATGACTTTTGGAACACGGGACAACGGCCGGCGAACCTGAACCTTCTTCTTCATGGGCATTTTCTTTGTTCTTCAGGCGCCGCGCAACACTGATCGAGGCAGGGCATGTAATAAAGCCACGCATACACACGCCCTTGGTTTGAGAGGCGCCCGCAGCCTTGGCCTTACTCTCTGCCTTGGACCTGAAGCACTGGGGACTATGTAAGCGCTGTATGGCCTGCAATGCAGAGTGGATACGTATGCCTGATTCATGTCTGGCACGTGGCAGAAACCCGTGCAGACCATGGCCATGGCCTTGAAGATGAGGCGATATGGGGAGTACAGTAGGGCTAAAAACGTGGTTGGTGCGCCTTGTTTCACGCATGCACATGGGCTTGCTAGGGGTAATATGTGTGTGTGAGTGTGAGTGTGTGGAAGACAGGGCATGAATGGTCCTTTTTCTTTTTCTTTTGGGTACCAAGGTACGTACCTTGCCCGCCTTGCCCGCCTTACCCGCTTTTTCTTGCTGACTGTGTCGCCGCGCACGTTGCCGGCCACCGGGCGCATTCGGGCATGCGAGACTCTCGACGAACCATTCGATGATGCAAAAGGTGGCCTTTATGCACTGGAATGTGCTCGTCCGTGACTGCGGGAAGGCTCCTTGTGTACTTTGTTTCATCTTGGCTGACACACTCCCTTCAGCTTCGTCGTTGTTCAGGCAGCGCATTTCCCTCGTCCTTGTTGAACTCGGTAGTTACAGTATGCCCTTTTCTTCTATCCACGTGCCACTCGGAAATTCACACAACGCTCGCTTCTTAGTGTACACTTCTCGCCACTAATATCGTATTGTATCGTATTGGTGGCAGCGCGAGCGGGCGACAGGTAATAGCGCCAGTTCAAGCGTGCTGTCATTGCGCTCGCCGAGTACAGTCACGCCGATGTAGTGCCGGCATATGTACAATAGGACACCGTCAGGTTCAACTGATACGGGACCCCGACGTATTTATTCTGATGGCGGTTATAGATTTCTCCGAAGTCCGTGAATACAGCGAAATGGTGCCATGATTAGATGAGGATATGCTTGCATCACGGAGACTCGAAACTGGGCATCGGCTGTGGTGATTGGGCATGATCAAGGGAACATGATAGATGGCGTTCGGCATCTGAGTATGAAGATCCGTGGAGAGAAACTTGATGCGCAATAGTGATTGCTGGGGATTCTCAATCTAGTTCAGCATAGTAACTTGTTTGTTTTCATCTCTAGTAAACGTGAAATTGTTGGTATATCGAACGATTAAAAAAAATCCCAAGAGATGAGGACGCCGGGGTAAGTCTGAAATTATGGTAAGATTTTTTTTTCACGGGGATATTTGCTCGTATTTTTCATGTCATACTATCCCATCTTTTCATACGGTGGATATTCGCCCTGTCTTTGTATTAGCGGCCGCTCCAGTGCTTACGCCCAATGCGCCCAACCTAGTTGATGAGCTTGAAATATGAGTCATCTATATGCTTGTCATAGACGGAGCAGACAACGATATGCTGCATCGTGGTTAGAAGGGAACATTGCTATAACAGTAAAAGTTCTTGTAAGAGTAGGCAAGGTATCATGGCACGGAATAGGCAGCAACGTTAGATAGCGGTAGTCATAGAACAAGTATTACACGAGATGGATCGCTGGTGAGCCATACTAGCGATCAGAGGTATTTACATACTACTTTCGGGTGAGAGCACGTGATTATGTGCCAGGGTGCTATGGTCGGATGTGGCGTTTGAAAGTTCTAATCTTGTTATCCATGTCGCTCTCTCTCGAGTGCATAACAGCAAGAAACCATCTCCACACTGATCAGCCTGCACTGCCTACAAGATTTACGACGTAAAACCTTATATCTGCTAGATGCATTTCCTAGTTTACCTATGTCGATTGGGCCTATGTAAAGAGTGCTAAAGAAGAGGTAAAGCAGTTATTCGTTTGTTTACATAGTGGCAAGGTATGGCTATTATCAAGGCACGTGATAGAGCACATAACTTCGTCACGTGCTGCGGGCTCGTAGCTGTTCTGACGAGTTCGTATACAACTAAGACATGGCCTAAGCCCCTGACATGTCTATATTCAATTTCCCCAGGCAAGTCCAAGGAGATCTTGCGTAACACTACTTGATTCGAGAAATTCGAAACTTGAAGTTATTTCTAACGAACTGGGGACGAAGACAGAAGGCTAATCTGTGACTGAGTAACCCAAACAATAGCCCATCTATTATTCATCTCAAATGCTTCAAAGTGCGGGATTTTGCAGCTTTTAGACACGTGTAGCTGGATACCCACCAGGTGCGTTGTTTGTATTCACCATCGTCTTAGCATTAGAATGAAGAATAAAACTTTTGATGACGTGAATGGCATAGCGGCATACAGGACTCGCCTACGCAGCTTCGACATTTACTTTTCCCATTCCAAAGTTTGGAACATTCTATTTTGACGCCATGTTAATGACACTGGATGGGAGGCTGCTACCTGCCAGTTTACATATGCCTGGCAGCCTAAGATGTGCTTGACGGTAAAAGATGATAGCCAATAGCTATAAGTTGACGATACAACGGTGATAAAAGGGGAAATAAGGGATACCCAATGCCTCTTCGCGTAAAAAGATGAAACCATAAAACGTGAAATGGGAGAGGGAGTAGATTGGATATTGCTACAAACAGTGATGGCGCAAAATTGTGTTTGTGTGTTGCTAAGATGTACTGCATGCTTACGCAGAGAAAGTCGTATGATAGCATTCAATGTCAGTGAAGCATGCCTCTATCAAGAATCTCCAACATTTGGAGAATCAGGCAGTTTCTATCATATTACTTCTGTCTTGTACATCTTGTCTCAAGCGTGGTAATATATTTCCAGAACGAGTCAGGTTCTCCAACTAGTGATAAATCTCATACGAGATGTCAGGCAAAGCAAGATGCACCATGATGCCATACATGCATTCAGTGACTACGGCAGTGATAGTCAGTAGCTGAAGATGGGAGTATCCGCATGTGTGCCAACGCCGTCGTCGGATCCCGAGAATGCTTGGTCAGCACATTGACCTATGTCATGTTCATAAACTTTGGAGACAGCACACGTAGATGTGTACAAAATGAAGTCCTCCGCGTGTTGTTGGTCGTTTTCTGCCACGAGAAAAAGGGACAGTGGAGCGCTTGCTCAGCGAGTTTTGATTGTGATTCGACTGTTATCAGGGCGTGGCTATGTTTTCTCGCTGAAACGAGGTTGGCCTGGTGGTGTCAGTATATATAGTCTGTAGCCGAGGTGGCTAGAGATTGAGTGATAATGTGTTAGTTGGACAGCTGAGTATAGAGATGCGGAAATAGTCAAGTAGTGAACTTGGACCTCGTCGTTTATGACACCAGATTTGGCACCACACGGATGTTTGCGGGGCCACACGCCGGGAGGATCAGCCCACGGGGCGCAATGGCCATTTTGAATGAAGATGTGGTGGGTACCGAGACGGTGCAAAGACTGTGGGGCCTTTCAGTTGGCGTGCACCTCCTTTTGCGTGTAGCAGGTGTACATTCAGAATGCTTCGCGTAAAAATGAGGGTGCGGATCGGAATCGAGTTTTTTTTTGCCCCGGCGATGCGTGGCAGGGGCGCAGCAAGCCAAAGTACCAGGATTCGTTCCTTCGTGGTTGCAGCTTGATGGTAGGCGGCACGCTAAGCATCGCCAGGGCAGGACGGCAAGCCTTGTGGCACTATCGAATCTTCTTCCCCCGACGTCTTCGTTATAAGCGATTCGCCCGCCTGCGTTGATGCCGCTCTACAAAGTTTTGGCTTCCCTAGATGCGGCTTCGACACAGGCGCGAGCGGCAAGTCAGTTGCCACCAAATTGGGTCGCAGTCGTGGATGCAGAAAGCCCGTTAGCCGTTCCGCACCGGGCGGTTCTCATGGTACCGAAATACTAGCCGGCCGTCTTGACGAAGCGAGCGCGAGTGCATGAGTCTGTCGCGAGCTGGAGTTGGCTGGAGGGGCAGACGTCTCGGCGGCAGGTCACGTGCCGTGGGCGCGTCACAGCATCCAGACTGCGCCGGCTGTGTCAGCGCCAGGCGGACACGCACAAGCTGCATCTGACTGCAGTATATACACGCGGCGCAGTGCTTGTCTGGGCCCCGATCCCGCGTCATGGCCATGCTATGTCTGCTTGTCTGCTATATGTACGTACACACACAAGCTGCGTGCATGGCGAATTGCTTTTGCCGATGCGCGTCAGTCGACACTAACCACGACTAGGACAACAGAGTTTCGACGACTCCAAGTGCCACGCGAGCTGCGAGCGGCTGCTACCTGACCTGGGCACGGCAAATGACTTTGGGCATGCCCTCTAATTGGCGTGGGGTTTGTTTATGGCACCAGGCTTGGGCGATGAGCAACGCCCATTCCAGGCGATGCTCGCCACCGTACCGCATGAGCTATCTCACCACTCGAGCCGGGAGACGAGTCGTGAGCCGTCGTGGGTGGCGTCGCGCCCTGGCTTCTTCGGCGACTTGTCGCTGCGTCATCTCAAACCCATTCCATCTGGCGCGTGTGGGTGCTCTCCGCGCTCGTGCTGGCCTCGCGGATAACACCCCCTGCATAGTAGGCAACCAGCCAACGGCTCCACGCTTGCCTGGTTCCGAAAGACGCGCCAGGATGCTCCCCATTTTCGAGGCAGCCATCACCACGGCCGTCATGCAAGCGAGATGCCCGGCTCATGCATGCCGACTAGCTCTTCTTCACCACTCGCTTCTGCAGTAAACCACATGGCGCAACAACTGCTAGCCCGCCATGCCGGCGGCGAGCCATGTCGACGCCCATGAGCCTTTGATTGGCGTGCTGGGAAACGGTGGCATGCACTAATTCTGGCTCGTCCGTGACGCCCAGATAGCATGCTCGTATTGGCCGGGGGCCCTTCACCGAGACGGTCTGTGTTTCGGGGGTATACCCAACTCGATTCGAGGGCGTATTGCTGGGGTACTGGCCCACAAAGCTTGTATGTACATCAGGTACCTCGAACGCTCTCCTTACACTTCTAGCGCACATGTAAAGAAGCCTCATCTGAAAAGGAGTGGTTAGCGGGCTCGGCCCAACTCGCATACTAATACCACGCGAAGAACCCCCGTCACCCGCTCCATTCCCCATAATAGTCATGAGCCAACTGTCCCCCGAGCAGTTGGCCGCACTGGCCAAAGACGACATTGGTCCCCTTACCATGTCTCTCATCATCACCTTTACCGTGCTCTCTGGTGTCGCCGTCTGCTTGCGCATCTTCACCCGTGTTCGATACATTGGACGCCAGCTGGGATGGGAGGCAAGTATATATCAAAGTGCGCGAGCTGCTGACACGGCCACTGAAACTCTACCAGGACTATGCAATCGTCTGTTCCATGGTGAGACTTTTGCATACCAACTGCCATGTCTATCCAAAGCTTACACTTTGCAGCTAACGGCCATTGTCACAACGGTTTTACAAGTTCTCCGTAAGGCTCTATCTACTACTCGGCTTGCGACGACGAGTGTTTTGATTAATCCATCGTAGAAGTAAAAGCTGGCAATGGCAAACATAGCATGTTTGTCGATTATCCAAAGGGAGTCGACCGGATACTGAAGGTGTGATGACGGCAACTTCACTTTGGCAAGCCGCACGGCTAATAATCAACAGTTTCTCTTTGCGAGTATCATCAGCTACAACACCAGTCTTACCTCGACCAAGATTTCCATCTTGTTGCAATACAGACGCATATTTGCAGTGCGTGAGCTGCGCATACCACTCAATGTTGTCATGAGCATATGCGTCGTTTGGGGCCTGGTGACGGTCGTCAGCTCCATCTTCGCATGCGTGCCAGTGAGCGCCTACTGGCATATCCTGGAGAGGCCAAAGGCGAAGTGCGTGGATGAGAAGATGTAAGTATTCTGTTTCATGACAGGAATATATGAGGGTTCAGAAGAACAGCAAAAAAACAAAAAACAAAAAAGAAACAAAACACACGCTGACAAAGGTTGAACAGCATGTGGTACACCAACGCCGCAGTCAATATCTTCACCGACCTTCTTTTGGCCTTCCTCCCCGTACGCGTCATCGGGAATCTGCATATCGCGAGGCGCCAAAAGATTGCACTCGTGGGGATTTTGACCATAGGATGGTTCGTGTGCGTGGTGTCTGTTCTCCGCCTCCATGCTCTCATACGCCTTCAGGGACATATGACGGACAACACGTATTACAGCGCGCCGGCTGCCTACTGGTCCAATATCGAGATGAACCTCGCCATTGTTTGCGCATCGCTACCAGCACTCAAACCACTCATTGTCAGGATCATACCAGCCTTCTCGTCATCCCACGGTGGCAGCAACGGATATGGGTCCCGGTTCACCAGCGGGGGCCATACCAAGCGAACAGAAACCGGCCATGGTGTCAGCAGCACAGCGAGGCACACAAGAGACGATGGCATTGAGCTGGAAAGGTCACCCGGCACGCCGGCGCCAGACAAAGGCAGCGATGGGGAGAGCCTGGGCAAGAATATATACGTTTCTCGACACTTTGAGCAGCACTACGAAGACTGCTCGCGGACCAGTGACAGCGAGAGCCAGAAGGACCTTGTGCAGCAACACTGAGCATGGCGTACATAGGTTTAGCTAGACGAATACCATGATGATGATAATGATGATGATGATGACGACGACGACGGCGATTGGCCATTCACGTGCTTCTTCACACGCTGCCCGCCGTCTGTGCGCCGTTCGGCATTCGGCAGTCGGCCCTCGGGCTCGGCACGCGTGCCTGGACCATGAGGCAATGCGTGGTTCCTATAAGCATGGCAGATAAACGGAGCATGTGTGTGTGTGCTCAGGTCAAACTCGACTGCTATAGTGGACCGGGTAACAGATCGCACCGCTCCGCAGGCCGCAATTGTATGGGCATGGGCATGGGGGGGGGGTTTTGCAGGGATTGGCCGATTTTAGCTCCGATCTAGCCCATCTAAGCGAGGCGGGAGGCTTGCGTCATCCGAGAAAAAGGCCGACGCTAAGCCGGTCACAATGCTTTGCACACCCTCGACCCTCGACCCTCGACCCTTCACGCCCACATGCACGCCCAACCACCTGCCACACCCGCCACAGGCCCGCGCAACACATCAGCATCCCGCCAGCTCTCGACAGCTGCATACGCCCCGTCACGCCATCACCATCCCTCTCGCGCGCGCTCGTGGCCCATGGCCTGCGTGCCGCGCCTTTTCAAGCGAAGCCCATGTCCGGAAACAAGACCACGGCCCTCGGTGGCCCTGGAATCTCCTTTCCTCCGTCACCCCCCGTAACCCCCCCTTGGCTCGATGCTTGCACTGGCAGCATGCCCCCGGCGGGGGAGATCGCAGCCGTCGGACCAATAATTCCGCCGCGGGCACCCGCTGCCAGTGCGCCGGGAGTTCGCCTTGGGTTCCCTTGCATGCGCTCGTCGACTGGAACCAGAGGCATTCGTCGATTGCCATTGTGATCGGCCGGTAAGTATGGGTTGGCCAGAGAGCGAGGGTCGCTGGTTGCTCCTGACAGGCGGCAAACCCATTGTCCAGCTGATGGCGCGGCTGTAAGTGTAAACTTTAATTTGTTAGGCGTTAACGTCACCTCGTATCATTTGTCTGCTACACCTGCCGAGTCAATCACTAGCATGGCCGTCGTACGAGCACGAGCACGAGCGCGAGACCGGGACCAGTGGTGGTGGCACTTCCTCTTGTCATGTCGGGAATATCATATCGGCCTCGTCCGTGTCCGCGTTGCCCTGTCACCGGTGCCGTTCATGTTGCATGCAAATGCGCCACAGGCCACTCGGCTCGCATGCCGTACGCACATGCTTAGTTACGCTTTGCCTGACGTGCGCGATCCCCACGTTGTTGGCTACTGCATACTTACTGGACGTGTACACGGTCTGTTTTCATGACACGGTGACTTGTTCGCAGTATGACTCGTTGCCAACAGTGCAAAAGTCTACCGAGGCATATACCCAAATCAGACACGGGCGCCATGAAATTCTGCACATACATACATACGACATGATTACTGTAATGTTACAACTATCGAAACTCGGCATAGGCAAAGTGCGCCGGCGTCAGAACAGGTTGCATGACTCCAAAAGAGTATAGCCCCATCATCATGCCTGTAAAAGGCGCTCCAACCTCGGGGCTTCGCGTCATGATCTGGGTATCAACCGCTCCCAGCCATTTCCAATCCCCACTTGTCTCTTGCGACCCAACGGCAACCTCGCGGTACCCTAAACGATAGCACTCAACACTACTCTCGACTATCAGCTTTATTGCGCCCTGCCTCGCGATGACCGCTTCTTTCACTTGCATGTCTGGCGTCGTCAGTCGCATGATGCGTTGGAGTTGGCCATCGCGGTCGACAAGCGCAATGCCTATACTGGCGTAGCAAGTGCAGTTCCACCAGACGACCGTCCCAGCCTCAACGCCTACAACATTTGGCTCAAAGTCTAGCTGGGTTTCCCATACGACAGGCCAATGCTTTTGCTTCCGTAGGAAGAGCGTCGGACACGTGGGCATTGACAGCGTATATGGGCCACCGTACAGCGTGAGCTCATCTGGGCGTGCAGTCATTGAAAAGTCACGTTTCACCGGCGTATCTATAGCGCGGTTAGCAATGCCACTACAAAGATCAAAAAGAAAAAGCGTGGTCATGCTCATGATGGACTTACTCTTTCTATACCAACCCAGCCCGAGGTTGATGCCTGTAAAGTCATCCCTCCACTGTTTGCTGTCCTCCAGCATGTACGCGTTTGGCGCCTCCATCTTCAATGCAATTGGTTTGCCTTGGTTGAAAATCGGCCAGTCGTTTTCCCAGCAAACAGGAAGCAGCATCGACTCACGGCCGAAGACTGAAGTCCGCCATCCGCTGCCTTCCTTCCTTGGGCGTACTCCCAGACACATGGCCCACCACTGGCCTTGGCAATCTTCAAGAACATCGCAGTGGCCGGTGTTTTGGATGTCGTCGTCGGTTGTATTGCGCCAAAGTGGGTTGTGTGGTGCTTGTTCCCACGGCCCAAGAGGGCTTTCTCGGCTGCGTGTCACATATTCGCAATGGCCCGACTCGGTGCCTCCTTCGGCAGTAAACAGGTAGTAGTAGCCGTTGCGCTTGAAGAGATGCGAGCCTTCAGCAATGCCCGACGTCGACTCGCGAATCATTTTCGGGACTGAAGTCAAAGCACCAGACTTGAGGTCCACAGTAGCTATGTGAACGGCAAAATCCCTCATGTTGGGGTCTGCAGAGCGAACGGCCTTGCGATAAGTCGAGGATAAGTACACCAGGCCATTGTCGTCCCAGAAGAGGTCAAAGTCGAATCCGACTTGGTCCAGGTAGACGGGGTCTGACCAGCTGCTATCGTTCCAGATGTTGTTCGTCTTCACATAGAAGCCCCGCGGCCACACACGGTCATCTGTCTGCGGCCGGTACCGATCAAACGAGCTCGTGATGATGTAGAAGGTGCCATCGTGGTACCGGATCGTGGTGGCCCAGATACCGCCTCCCGGCTCCGGGGTTCTAATGTCAAGCTGCGACTTGCGCGTCAGGGCATGGCCTATCAGAGACCACTGGATGAGGTCTTTGCTATGATAGATGGGCACTCCCGGGAAATACTCAAACGACGACGTGACGCAGAAGTAGTCTTTTCCTACGCGGATGAAGGACGGGTCTGGATTGAAGCCTGTAAGAACCGGGTTGGCAAACGTGCCTGTTGTTGCTGACGCCATTTTGGTAGTTGTGCTTCTCGTGCCGCGGGGTACTTGGGGACGAGTCCGGTCCGGCCATCAAGACGACACTCGCAGTTTGCCGTGTCGCTGGTACCATGCGGCTTCGCACATGCGCGATACCAGACAGATGCCGTCAGCCATGCCGTTGCGAGCACCCAGAATACGGCATGCAGTTTTCCCTCAAATCACAGGCTTCGTGGCCGCGGCGGGGCACGGGTTCCGAGCTTGTTGAGGAGCGCATCGTGTTGGGTGAGGGGCAGGCTTGGCGGTGCGACACCGGCCTGAGATGGTCATTTCAGATGCACCGCCGTTACTCCAAATCATGGTTGCTACCACGACATCATGTCAACCGCCCTCGGCGTCACTAGCGGCACTGCTCTAATCGTCGTCTCCGTTCGCCTTCATTTCCTACTCGGTCTTATATATGCATGGCGGTGAGTGTAAAACGTCCATTATCAGTCGCCGTTGCTTGGCGCAATTTGAAATACACTACATTTCCACCTAAACTGCGCTTTTTAATCCTCTGGTTTCAGTTTAAGAAGCGACCCCACCTTGTTATCGTCCATTTCGCGACAAGTTTTTTTTTCATGTCTTCACTTCTCATTCCAGGCATGGCAGCATATCACCGTGAGAGAAGTGGACGCTATCTTCGGTACTGCCAAGCACACGTGTAGCAAATGCCAAAGGTATGTACGTAGTAGTCGTCTTACTCTGAGTGTGGGCTGATGTTAGTAGTATACCTACAGTACGTAAAATGCAGCTATTTAGGGACATTGTTTTGGGACCCATGATGTGGGGCACGCCCCGGCAATTGCGAGGCTAATCTATATATCGACATGGTCCGCTAGACACCCTGCCAAATCATATCTCAACATATTTCCTTCGACTGCCGTGAATATTCGAAGAAAACCTTGCCCCCCCCGTTCGTCATTGTTCAGTAGACAACCGGCATACCACCAGGAAGTTCCTTTAGCCAATTCCCGCTCATTCCAACATCCTCAACTGCCTGCTGAGCCTTTTTGCACTTCATCGAGTCTTGCGCAGACTGTATTTTCAAAACCTGGCAGTTGGCGTTGGCACACTTTCCACTTGGCAGAGCGTCCATAGCCCTCTGTAAAGAGTCGTCTTTCCAGCCGAAGAGATAGTCGCCGTGCTGACCATATCCAGTACTGCATACCGTTAGTAGGTGTGCAGCAACACCATGCGCGAAGATACTCACCCATCTCCAAAGCTGTACACAAAGGGTTGCTTGCCATTGGCATACCATGCGTTATTCTTATATCGTCCAGTGTCCCACATAATCTCGTACATGACCTGTGGGATAGCGACTGGATGCGTGCTGGGACAGTTTGGTGATCCCAGGCCGCCGCCATTAGAGTACGCGACATGGCTTTTGTGATCGGGCGAGTCAAGATTAACACCGTCCCAGCATGACGGAAAAATTACTGTTGCCCGGATGCCACCTGGACAGTATTTCTTCGGCAGCTCTGCAGTGTCCTTTGAATCGCACGGAGCAAAGCCCTCACCGTTACCCAGGCATCGGTGGCAGATGCTCGCACCATTTGGCTTCTTGGCCAAGGGGTCGCCAGCAATCATGCGGAACCCTGGCCTGAAAGCTGTCATCTTATTGTTCTTGGCAGAGTATGGCATGTAATAAATCGTCATCCCACCGTCCTGCTGAAGCCCAACGTTGGCAAATTGCGGCACATGTTGGAATGTACCGTTGTCAGGGGAGCGGAAGTATAATGATGCGGTCCAATAGTTACTAAAGTCCTCGCTGTAGGTGCAAGATGTGCATGTTGACCGCAAAGGAGGGTCGAATTGGACCGGTTCCATCTCGCAATGTTAGTCATAGCCTTTGAATGGAAGCTAGATTCGTACAGTAAGATTGAACGAGTTGCCACCAATGATCTGATGCGTATGCGGGGATGGTCGTTGACCTGGACTTACGAGTGGGTCGGCCCGCTCGACGGTCAGCTGCGAGCATGCAAAACGAAGCATGTTCTGTGCAAAGACATGGTGCGTCATCAGCGCGTTGACGGCAAGTAAAGACCACAACATTATGAAGAGCTATGTCCAAATAGATGGTGAAGAAGCAGCAAGCGACAGAATTCCATCACCAACAGCTTTATAACCTCTTTTTTTATGCACTTGTAACATGACCAAAAATGTTGTAGTATGCTATTTTGCATTTTGCGGGTATATTGAAAAATGTAACATTAATCATCATGTTCACCAATTACTACTTGGCGATTGATGAAGTCGTCTTGTATGACCATGGCCATCCATGAGAAACAGGCCTGTTTTCTTCTAGAGGGACTGGTTCATCTACACAGCGAATCGGCAGTTGGTTCAAGGATGCTCCAGGCAGAAATGAACCGAACCCTCGCTTCATTCATTGCACAAGGAGGTCCCATGACATATCATGAACCATGACCCCAAGTCGGTCTCGATAAGCCTGGTGCCAATCGAATGTCGATCGCGGCAAAGAACGGTTGTGAGTCCTCTGTATGCCATTTCGGAATCATCATCGCGACCGCACTTCCCACCCGGCCCTGGCAAGCTGGGAATTTAACCATAGCACTGAAAACCCGAATGCGGTTGAACCGTATTCTTCTTATATTGCATCTGCGTTCTGCATAGAAGAAGTGCCAACTTGACAGTCATCCCGTGTCCCAGCAGGTGACGATCTTGCAACGATCTTTCTTGGTTCCACTACGTAGCCCTGAACTACTAAGCCCACCTCCCAAGCCCTACAGCTATCGGTATGTAACGCTTATTAAGAACCACATTATTGTTAGGAAGTGCAAAATCGGCTAATCGGCAGCAGGAACGGCGCCTGAAACCAATGATATTTCAGAACAAGGATACAGGAGCATGGTAAATTGAAGGATGGAGAACTAGATCACCAAGGGAATCAGACGAGGAACTGCTGAGACTTTTAGGCAGGTCTCGCAGCAGCATCTAGTATGTGAGAGCATGCGTCCCTTCCCCTCTCTGCTATAGTATATCGGCAACTCAGTATCGTCTAGGTGCAACTGTCCGCTGTTTCTGTTGCCTTGGGCTATCCAAATCCGATTCTTATCACTTCTTGTGCCGTGACCTGTAAGGTTCATCCAGGAACAGTGGTGCTAGTAGGTCATGCTATACCCCGTATGACTTAGTTCATGCTTGCTTTGTCGCTGTCTTATCTCTTCTAGCTAACCAGTCTTTTTCACCAAGAGTTTCATATGCACTGCCAAAAGAACCTGAAACAACCCTACAACGTGCCATGACGGAGGCCTCCCGCCGTAACATGTGTGATAAGTTCGTCAGTGAATGGTTCCGTGTAATTAACCCGAATAGAACACCCGCCTTGACATATAGCTACAGTTATGGTCCGATGCGACGTAACACCTTTCTTCCGTCAGGTGTCAACATATGCGTTCTGTTTTATCTTTCAGCAAGGATGTGTGTTCATCTTCACGCACGGATATTTTCTAGAAGTCATGATGCTTGAGACTTGGCCAGTGTAACCCCCTGTCATAGCTCGTTGCACATTTTTAACAAAAGGGAAACAATAACACGAAAAGTAGATAAAACTCTACGCTTAAGTTTTTCTGTTTAACAGGGGCCAGGTATGGGTTTAGTTGAGGCAAGTTGCATTGTTAACGACGGCCGTGTCCGTGGCGGTGCTGTCATGGCAACAGCAATCCTGTCGCCACAGTCCGCACGCTTTAGACCTTTGGAGCCAAGTTTCAATTACAACTTCATTCCAGAGAAAGTGTGCGCAGGCACAGAGCACAGGCAGAAGTGTTGTTGAAAATCCCGCGTAAAAATGTAAGCTCAAACTACTGCTCTTCTATGCGTGTCCCATCACCAGCCTTTGCGGCGCTATCCCAAGGTTGGGGTTGAATGGGTCGCTTTTTTTAAGTAGCATGCCCCACCAGCCCCAAGGGTGAGAATCAGCCTATGCATTAGAATTTCCAATATCTATCATTCCAAGCAAAATGCCGAAAGCGAATGAAGAAACTTTTGCATGGAGAAAATCAGTGCTCTGCGATGCACTGGTGTGCCTGCCACGGCCCACCTCACCAATCAATATCGCATTCGACGCCTACAGGCGCATATTCTGATCTTGCAAGAATAGAAAACCACTGACTTTGAGGAAATGAAAGTGATCACAAAGAGAACGATGATCTCTGATGTTGTCAGCTAGGGCCGACGAGGCGTCTCTGTCAGCACGCCTCCCCGCACTTCCGACGCACGTTCCCGAGCAGCGCAAGCTTTGAGTACTACCACTACAGTGCCCGTGCACCAGATGAGCACCATCGCCAGTTGAGCACCCCCACCACCACAACAACAAAACTTCAACGCGTCAAAACTCAACCAATATGGACCCGATTCAAGAAGCGATTGCAGAAATCGAATCGCGAGAACCAGGAGATAAATTCTCGTATCAAGCAATCGCGAAAAAGCATGGTGTAGCACGAATGACGTTGATGAGACGACACCGCGGCGAAACTGAGGCCTATGGCGTGCGCAACCTC